TGATCTGGGGAAATTCTAGTCTAGGGAGAGGATTGAGGAGTAAATTATTTCACACCTTTTGGGGAATTATAAATTAAGATTGCATTCTTATTATTTCAGAATTCAATTTTTTTGGTATGAAAAATGAAACAATGGCGTGTTTTTTCATTATGATCGTTCTCTATCTTCTCAAAAAAAAAAATTGTTCTCTAATTAATAAAAAAAATGTGTTAAACAATCTTTGCATTTTTTATTTTCCAATCAAAACCATTTTCCAATCAAAACCATTTTCCAATCAAAACCACCTAGATACTAAAAACTCAGAGATTTCCAAAATATGACGGAAATATATCTGAAAACTTGCGGACCATTTTTTTCAGGGCGATTCTCTGCGAAAAATTATTAAAGGCATAAATAACAATTTTCTGTTATTAAAAATGAAACAATGGCGTTCCACCTCATTATTATCATTCTTCTTTAAAAAAAAAATCATTTATTTATCATTTCGACAACTGTAGACTCGGTCTCTTCTCCATGACCCGCGTGGGCGTAACTGCGTACTCGTAAATATCACTCGGTAACGAGAGGCTGTATTGTGAATACATCCAATGATGGGGAAATAAAGGGACGAGAGAATAAATACAGGAGGCTCTACCCTTGACAGTGCCCACAAAAATACAAAAAATATCAAATATATATTTTTCAAACTGCGAAATATCTATTACTGATAGCAATCCATTTTACATTACAAATTTTATGAATTTTAATGTAAAAATAAATTTATTTTCGATGAATGTTCAAATTAAAAAATTATTCCAAAGACTCTCATCTGCCCCAAATAACGCAATAACCCAATTATTAATTAAGCAGAAAATAGATTTAGTTGGAACTAACCAGAAATGACTTTGTAATTACTTTCTAATGAACTTTTGTTCATTAAAACTATCGTCCTAGCGAAGACAATTCGGTTTAATCATCTGAAATGAAATTTCTCAGGTAGAGAAAATTTCTTCTGATTTTTTTTTTCATGTTTCCTCTGTATTTGACTGTTTCTCAATTAAATATTATATGACAGAGGAGATGGGGCACGACATCACTGGTATCTCTCTCATCACAGTGCAAATGTTCTGTACCCACAATCCATGCCAAATCTCCAGTTACCCTCGAGGGAGGTAAGTGTGTACTCGAGAAAAATATATTTCAAAGGCGAATCCCAACCGACTCAATTACCAGTTGGAGAAGGCCACAGTGATAATTAAAAAGTTATTACGTCCAGGCTCGTTTCTACTGGCGACTTTACACGAGACGACTGATACAGGGGCCCTTCCTCGAGGTGAAACTCAGTCGTGCACTTATCCGAACTCTCAGAAGGTGCACATGTCATTATCAGAGAGAAAAATATATTTGTTCGAGTAATTCACATTGACTCATTTTACCATATTGATAGAAATAACGAAGGACATTACACTCTCATCAGAATTTGAGAAAACTCGTAATTAGAGATTAAGCACTATTCAATTGTGTAATTATTGAACTCATTTCACCGGGAATTCTGCTTCTCGAATTTTATCGAATTCTGGGGAGTGAATCATTTTTTTTAAAACATCGCTATTATTTTTCTGGGGCTTTGAATGAAAAAAATTTGCCAACCAAAAATTTTGTCCTTGATGATTTTTATTGATTCGCTTTCCCAGATAAAATATTTCAGGAATCAAGGAAATGGCGAGAAATTCTCAATGGAAAGACTCGAATTGAAACGCATGAAGGGTGTGAGTCTGCTGTTAGCTCTACGAAATTCTACAAAAACACTCAAGTGTTTGAACTGCTGGGGGGCTTTCGAGGGAACCGAGAACCTCTCCTCGTGGACACTGGCAACCTCAATGGCACCGGAATGTAGAAAGACCGAGTAATTCGGAAGAGTGAATTGGTTTCAGGCAATAGGGTGTTCTTCAAACTCTCGCAATTCTCTCCCTCAACTACGCGTACATTGCCAATGCCAGGGAAGATTTCCTGATCAAATTATCCGAGTAAATACCTCCGACTCATCCAATAGCCAAGGCGTAATTTCTCTTCAACCGCTCAAGGTCATTCACAGAATCAATTTAAAAAATCAGGAAGCGCCTTCATGTCCGAAATAAATTTACGGTTAATTCCATTTTTGAATTAATAAGAATATTTAGCAAAATTAAAATTATTCTATGTAAAATGTTTTGTGGCCCTGAAAAGGACCGATGGTTATTGCCGAGTGATGTGAGAGCTATTAGTTTCAAACACATGACCTTCAATGATTATTCCCGGTTGACGTATCTTCACTAGTCCGTTGTGAATAACCAATAGCATTCTTGTCTTGTTACTATCACGAACGGTGTTGCACCGGTCGACTAGCAACTTACGAACTTCAGCAATTATCCGCCTTCTCCAAACCAAATGCTCCCTCTTAGTGTAGCCGCATAAACTGGAGCTGCAGAATATTTTTTATGTAGAAAACGACGACTTCGGCCCACGAGGAATAGCGGTACTGCTTTGCGTGATCGGGTCTTCACATTGCTCTGTAATTTTTCATTCTTCGCCAAGCTTAGGAATTGTAGAAGTTCGGTTCAATGTTCTTCAAAGACAGAGGGTTTTTGTCGAGTCATCCAAGAGCTGCTCCTCTCGACTCTCACTCGAAGACGGATGAAGTTAAAATGAAGTTAAGAAGCAACGCGCAGGTCCCTATATAGAGTCTGCGCGCAGGACCGCCGAGCCAATTGTAGCACGGGTAGCTCTGATTGGAGCGGTGCTACAACCGCCGGAGGGGTTAAAACAACGGCGTTTCGCCGGCAGAGATCACTTCGCTCCTGATCTTCGTCCGGTCCAGAGCTCCAGCCAGCAGCGGTGATATCGGAATTCAGCGGCCAAGCAGTGGAAAGACGATCCAGAGGGAAAGCAGAGGATAAAGCAGAGTTGCGCTGTCTACATTGAAGGACTCCCAACGCGAGTGGTGCAGTGACGCTGTGCTGTCTACATCGAAGGAGTTTTAAGCGAGGGATCTAGTGGCGCTGCGTTTGTCTACATCCAAGAAGTCCTGAAGCGAGTGGTGCAGCGGCAGTGCTGTCTACGTACGAGTAGTTCTGAAGCGAGTGGTCCAACAACGCTGTGTCATCTTTTGATTTTATAATCGGTTCTTTTCAGAGCCTTGGGATTCTTAATCCGATCGATTCTTTTTAGAGTCCTGGATTTTTATAATTCAGTCGATTCTTTCTCGAGTCTCGGATTTTTCGCTACCCAATCGGCTCTTTTCAGAGCCCTGGAATTCTCATAATCCGATCGATTCTTTTTAGAGTCCTGGGTTTTTATAATTCAGTTGATTCTTTTAATGAGTCTCGGATTTTTCGCTACCCAATTGGCTCTTTTCAGAGCCCTGGAATTCTCATAATCCGATCGATTCTTTTTAGCGTCCTGGATTTTTATAATTCAGTTGATTCTTTTAATGAGTCTCGGATTTTTCGCTATCCAATCGGCTCTTTTCAGAGCCCAAGAATTCTCATAATCCGATCGATTCTTCTTAGAGTCCTGGATTTTTATAATTCAGTTGATTCTTTTTATGAGTCTCGGATTTTTCGCTATCCAATCGGCTCTTTTCAGAGCCCTGGAATTCTCGATTCGCTATTTATTTTCAGGACCCCGGATCCACGCAGCAGATTACTCAACTGACTCTTGGAGAACCTGGATCGACACAGCGGATTGCACCATCAGATTGTCAGATCCTTGGATCTTTGGAGTAGATTACTCAATCGGATTTGCAGAACCTTGGATCTACGCAGTGGACTACACCGACTCTTTGCAGAGCACTGGATTAAACAACCAGCCCTTTTCAGAGCTCTAGATAACTCAATTCGCGATCGGCCCTTTTCAGGGCCCCACATTTTTGATAACGTTGGTTAATATCGCTTCGCTATCTATTCCATTCAATATAAATTACTATTTTACTAATTATTCCGTAATATGTGATGGCTCATTTTTCAAAAATGTCCAAGAGCTCGTGTTAAAAATCCGCACTTAAAACCAATAGGCTCTTTTCAAGGCCATTAACTCTACCGGCGTAAAAAGCTGATGACAATTTGCGTTTGAGAAGTATAAAAATCTATAAACTCTCATTAGTCGAAGGGATGAGGTTTTGATTGGCTAATGGTCTTGTGGAGGGGGGAAGAGTGAGGAATGATTATAAATAAAGGAGTTTCGGAAGACTTCCTCAGTTGCGATTCAGATCTGCCAGCGGATGGATCTAGTGCAGAAGAAAAGGATCACCTCTCGTGAAAAGCTGGGGGATGCCGATGATAAACTCAGGATAATCATTTGATGAAGATTTTGCGATTCTAAACCTACCTTCCCCGGTCTTTTTTTCCTGGATTCTTCAACGATTTTTCTATAACTTCATAATCGCGATAAGTGAGAATTGTTGGACCTGAAAGAAGTTAAAATTTATAGTTTGCGTCTTTCGAGTCAAGAGGAAATGTGAGTTTATTTGTGGTTTACCAAATTCAATCCGTCAAACTTAATATTTCAAAAGTAAAATAATATTCTGAAACACAATAAGTAAATGATTATAAAAATAATTAATGAAATGATATAATTTTTCCTATTTTAATTAAAAAAAAAAGAAATAGGAAATAATATATAAACATCAAAGAAATAATAAAATACATAATACAAATAGAAGCAATAATAATAAAATAAATGAATATAATAAAATTTACAATGAAATTCGGAAATACGTTGTAAAAAAATACAAGATGTATTAAATTAATGTGAATATAGTGATGTGAATATAGTGCTGTGAAAGTGTTGTGAAAGTGCTGTGAAGTGATTATTAGGCGATATTACCCGCTATATCGATGATTGTACCTGGAGGATTATTTTTCCAGTAAATGGTGAGTCATACTATCAACAAATATAAATATACAAACTGATACTGCGATCAACAATCATCCCTTCCATATTCCAATATTCCGCGAATTCATTGATAGATTTTCTATAATTTAGGACTCCGGAATATTGACCATGAAAACTGGTAAACTATTAATAAGGAATAATGTTTATTATATAGTGTGTATATTTAAGTGAAAAAAACTGAAAAATCAACACGCGATACTCATCAAATTTTCCGCGACATTTCGCTGAACTAGGAATCAATTTCATAATAAATTTCTGCACCGCGTAGTTTGACCACAGTCTGATTTATTCAATCACGATTCATAACAATCGACATTAGGAGGCTCACTCGTAACTAAATACAAAAGCTTAATGCTAGTAAAATCATCACTTGAATAAATACAAATGTAGACATACAAAAAATGCAGCAGCGAAATTGCATAATTTAATTTCATAATCGTACAGAATATTCATACGTTCGGCTTGAATTTATTTCCGTCAGAACATCGAATTCTTCCTTCAAAATTTCTTTAAAAATTTTTCCCACGACTTTTTTCTCTCTCAAACACTTTCCAGTGTCTGCCTGAATTTCCAAAAAATAGACCAATTCCCTACGCCTCATTACTCTCTTGCTGCTGAAATTTCGGGAATTTCGCCTCGACCTCTGCCCACGTGAGCTTCCCATTAGCAAGATCCCTGACAACCCCTGGTAATTCTTCAATCGCCACCCTCACCTGTCCCATAGAATCCCTCTCCCTCAGGGTAACAGAATGGGGTTTTTTCAAAGTATCAAAGTCCACAGTGATTCCAAAAGGAATAGCAATCTCATCAGTCCTAGCATACCTCCTCCCAATGCTCCCAGAAGAGTCATCGACCTTGTGAGACACATCAACCCTAGTTAAACCTTTCGATAGGTCCTTAACAAACGGCACAAACTCGGGATTTCCACTGAGAGGTAGAACAGAACACTTGAGTGGTGCAACCACAGGAGGTAAACTCAGATAATTCCTCATCTCGTCGCCCTCTCGTATTCTGAAATTATGCTCGAGCACAGCATACATGACCCTCCCAATGCCAAAAGAAGGTTCAACAACCGAGGGAATTATCTCCTCAACATGCAAAGTCTTCTGGTACCTCTTGATTACCACCATTTCCTTCTTAATCTCTACCTCGGCGCCATCAGCTAACCTCAGGGCATAAGTCCCACCAGTTTCCTCTAACTCCTTCTCCATTCGATCAACCTCATCCGCGGGAAGTGCCTCGAGAGCCTCCAGGACAGCCTTAGCTTCCTTCCTGAAAGTTTTCCCAATGATTCCCCTGTTGGGTGCAGCTTCCACGACATCCATCACTTTTGGGACTGGCAGCTTCTTCTCGGCGGCCAGTCTCACCCCAGTGGCTTTGGTGTGCTGAGTTAAATCATAAGCAGACCTATCAGCACACCCAACACACTCAATCCACCCATAGGATGTCAGGCATTCAGCGTCCCAACAGTCGCAAGCATAATGCGCCATTTCGTTGCTCATGTGCTGCCTGAATCTCAGTCTCTGAGGATCGACTCCGATGTTCGTCAGGAACGTCTGGATTCTTGCCATGAAGTATCCGAGTGTCTCGTTGGCCACTAGACCAGTTGATACAGCCTCTCCAATTGTCTTCAACTCAGCGCTCTTTCCGTCCATCTGATTGCAAGCTGAATACAGCATGAGTTTCGTATTCCTGACCCCATCGAATTTTGGGTGTGACTTGTCGGAGGGATCGCAGAAGTGCTCGATCTCAGCCATCGTGAACTCCCTGACTCTTATCAGACCTGATCGGGGGGAGATCTCGTTTCTGAACGCGTTACCAATCTGCGCGGCTGCGAAGGGCAACTTGTCCTGGTTGAATTCCAGGAGGCGTTTGAAGTTTACGAAGATCCCCTGGGCTGTCTCTGGCCGGAGAAAACCTTTGATCAGACCTGTTGGACCAATCTGCGTTCCAAACATAAGATTGAACTCCATGGGCTCTGACAAGTCGTTTCCAGTGCTCGGGGACTTCATGTTGAAGCGTTTGAGAACATCTGACATTTCGGATTTGGACATGCCGTCGAGTTTTATGACGATTTCTTTGCAGTCTTCTTTGGTCTTGGCATCTGTCTTCTTGTCAGCTGCTATTTTCTCAAGGTGGCCTTTGATCAGGTGATCCAGGCGGAAGCACTCGCCACTTTTTAGGTCCTTTACCATCAGGTCGGCGAATCGGTCGACGTGCCCTGAGGCTTTTAGGACTGGCTCTGGGGTCAGGATTGAACAGTCCACTTCTAACATCTGTTCCTCCAGGACGAAAAAACTTCTCCAGGCGTTTAAGAGGTTTGTCTTGAAGGCACATCCCATTGGACCGAAATCGTATTGTCCTGTTATCCCACCGTAAATCGCGAACGACTGATCGAAGAAGAAACGACGTTTTAGTAAATCCTCCATTCGGGTTCTGTCGAAGGTCTGCGAGGAGGAAATGAACGACAGCTCCTTGTCTTCCAGGAGTTTCTTCCGGAGCTTTAGCTCAGCCACTGCTTTTTTTACGTCTAGTTCAGGGGCGCCGGTGGACTTCAGCTCCCGGACCAGATCTCCCTGGGGAAGCAAAGCAGATTTTTAATTCTGAGGGTCGGCGATAGCGATAGAATCGTCGCAGGATGATAACAAAATGACTGTGTCAATTGACGGCAGGTTCTTGTCATTTTAGATAGTCATTCTGTCATCCGAGAAAAACTCCCCTATTACTAATATATTATTACATCATCTCTGAAATTAATCCCGGGAACGAAAAAAATTTGTTATTCTGTCAACACACAAAAGACTTGACTGCCTGTCAAAAATCGGAATAGAATATAATAAGCGACAATAATCGAGCGATAATTAATAAATAATTGAGTGACAACGGAAATATGTATGGAAAAATACATATGGAAAAAAGGTGGAAAAATCATAGATCTTGGGGTAGCGGAAATTGAAATAGTTGTTTGTGGTTAGGTTAATTGGAGAATTGCAAAATAGGGTTATTAAATCGTGGAGATAGATCCATATGGTAAATTACCTGTTCCTTCACACTTGCCCGGAGGGGTGCAAGCGCCTCTTCGATTTTAGGGTCCGACATGTCGAGGGGGAAGTTTAATTTGACAGTTCTGTGGTGTTTTTTGGAACCCCAGTTATCTGGTAAACTCTTGGCCAACAACAATCGAATCGATTGGAACTCGCGCTTCGTTGTTACGAAGGGGTTTATCGACTCCTGCAACAATCTTCTCGGAATTCTCAGAGCCAACAAACGCATTCGCGTGAAAGTTTCGATCGCTTTGATTACTCGGCCACGCGGTCACGAATGCGAGTGCAATATGTATAACTAATCGCCGACATACGATGATTGGTGGAGGAAAAGAGCTATTACAGTACGCGGGAAAATTTAAAAGCTTTTAATAATCATTTGGCAGCACTTGAAAATCAGGTTTTGTTCTCTAGGAACGTTTTTTTTATTTTTTTCGGGGAGAGATTTCGAGGAAAATACAAATTAGGATAAAATGAAAATTAACAGTTTATGAATCTGTAAATCCAGTTTATCAAAAGTTTAAAAAGTAGACGGAGGCGAAGACTCGGGCGGAAAAATTTCAAATGAAAAACTGTAAAATTCTTGAGTTATTTTATTTTATATAAATTTCAAGAAATCGGTATAGGAAAAAAGCATATTGAGGAATTTCGGGGAAATGAAATTGTCGGGACAGGTGGGAATATTTGAATTATTCCGGAGGATTGAATGGGTGAAAAAAATAACACATTCCATATTTCAAAATTGTTGTAATCGAGTAGTTACCGTCAATTACAGCCCTATTCATGACATTCATAATTTCATAATTACTTTTACTTCATAAGCATTTACATGCAGTCGGCAATATCGATCGACTCGGTCGTCAATACCCCCTAGGTTCCATGAAACTTAAAAACAAATATATATATCCATATATGACCTCTGATTCAATATTGGTTCTCTCAACAACATTAGGATGAAAAACGATACCGTCGATGATAAACAATCACTATATTACATAAGATCGAAAATTCCTCTTTCCAAATCGTAATTTCAATTTTCGTTAGATGAAAAATCATACAAACGAAGGAGAAAAAACATGATACATCGCTCGGCTAGAGTTGAATAAATAAAACGTATGAAAATGTAAATAATGGCTATTTACAGTTATGTAAATGGCAAAGAAGCTATAACAAAGACAAAATAAAATTTTATCTATACATATATAGTTTTCCTCGTTTCTCATTGATTTTAATTCGAAATATCTGGAATTTATTTCATGTCACCGAGAAAAATGGCGATCCAATACTAGTTTTGTTCTGTACACTTAAAAACTAAAAAACGCCTTTGAAACTCAATTTCTCAATTTTCACAATTTCATCCCAATCTTTATCAGTTATCTCACCTCAATTACCTCTAGATCAATGAAAATTTCCTAAACCTGTACTGCATATTAGCTCCACTTATTTCAGCTCAATGCGCAATTATAATTGGTCTATTAATATTTATATACTTCAGCAGTTTCAGTGGCTAAACTCGATAACTCGATTTCGAAAATTTCCCCATCGGTTTTTAAGAAATATCTCGAAATCGGCGAGAGATAGAAAAAAAACCCACAGGAGCTTTTCCATAAAGAAAATGAAAAGACGCAAAAAAGTTCCCACAAATATTTCGCTGTCTCCTTCGGCTTTCAAGATATCCCCGGAAAAACTGACCTCCGGACAAAATCGGTTTATCTCATTGTGCCCCTTTACCACCAAATCCTCAGGGAGTGCAGAGATATTAAATGCAGGCAGATCTGCATTCCACCCAATTCCGAATTCCTTCAATAATTCCACAGAAATAACGCAGAGTAAATTAAAAAAAACTACAAAAAAAAATTAACGAAGAGTAAATCTGAAGTAAGATGAGTATTTCAGTAAAAATTACTTTAAAAAATTCGCATTTCAATTGATCAACATTCCAATTGGTCAAATTAATAATCGATCGGCTCTTTATTCTACGAAATATCACAGTACAATGTGAAGAACCTGCGAACCTACCGAAGCACTCCCCATTATCATAATTATTTTTTCTTTTTTATCTAATGAATTTAATTGGTTTTTTTCGTTTTTATAAATTTAGCTGTCCCCTCAATTGATCAATTTCTTGGACAGAATGCTAATACAGATCTACATCTACAGTAAGATCATATGAGTAATCGGGTAATTCTTCAAATCAAAAATCCCCTCGGTTACCCAATTTGACATTATCGTTCGTATTCTCTCTCTTACTCATGAATGAAGAAATGATAAGAATTGTGATCCTTAACATTCTACGCCTATTCATATACAACCTCTATCGATACAATTGATTTAATCGAGTGTACTGGCTGCTAATGTGAATACTGTACGTATTTAATGCATGTAAAAATTCATAAGGTTAGTTAGCTTTTCCTCATCGTTTGGCGCACATTTTAGAGACTTTGATACAAAAATGAATGGAGAAAAAAATCGTATACGTCAATTCAGTTATTTACATAAAGCAAATGGACATCGATGGATTATTGTAAATTATTCGGTATAAAAAAGATGTCATGTTGTGCTGAGAGTTGGCGCAATTTTTTTTTCATCTTCAATTCAAGTGATTCATATCGAATTGCAGTTATGAGAGAAGTACTCAATAAATCGTGTATTTTTACATTCGATTAAACGAAGGAGTAAAATCATATTCTATTGGGGAGAGATATCAATTATTCGTCCCCACTGTTGTTACTTCAGTAGATTCAAATGTTACTATTTTATTATTTAACAATCTCTCAAATTGTTTAAACGTCTCTCCCCATAAATATCGAAGGAACTTCACTATCGATCCCCTTGCCTTCATTGCACTAAAAATTCTTTCAAATAAAGATATTCCACGTAGTAATAAGTTATTTGTGACTAACCATTTTACAACGATGTGTCTTAAAGCTTCAGTCTACGTTGTCTCTCGAAAATCTCCAGTAATGAGATATGAAATCATCTTTCACTCGTTAATTACATCCCTCTCGCGTCCCATCCGCACCAAAATTTTCAATAAAAAACAAACGCTGAGTAAAAAAATCTCATCTCTTAGAAAAAAAGTGAGTTCTCTCACTGAAAAAATCGTCGCAATCGATATTATCGAAGTGAAAAAAATTAAGTAAAAATTGTTCGTCAATGATTTCATACCTCGTCAAGTTTCTTTTCATTGAGAATAATTGGAAATGAAGTAACAGCACGCGTGGAGAGTTAATTAACTTACTGAGTAGGCGGCTGTGATTCATTGGGAATATTTGGATTCGGATAGGCTGGGAAATACGAGTAATTTGGATAAGGGGGTGGTGGTGGATGAGGAAAGGGTGCGTAATAGCTCGATGGGGTGTTAGTCGGTGGTGGTGCATAACCCCGATGCATGTAAGGGTCAGCCACTGGTGGAGGTGGTGGATGCAGAGCTGAATACATTCTTGCGTAGTCTGCGTTGTAAGAGGGTGTGCCATAGGCCCCGTATCCTGGAGTTCCTGAAAATTAATTTCCATTCGTTATTTCCTTCAATACAATAATCTTTGAATAATTCCATTAAGAGTCTTTTTCACATCACCATATAAATCAATGAAAGAGATGAAAATGAGAGAATATATATTCTTGTTTTTTTGTTTCTCCAATTTTTTTTAATCCAATGATAATTATTAATTTTCGACATAATTAAATTATTGACAAAAGGTGAATAAACTCACCAGGTGGATATGCCCCAGTAGAGCCTGCAGGATAATGCTGCCCATAACCCTCGTAAGGTGTGGGTGGATATCCTCCAGGATATCGTCCCCCAGGATGAGTAAAAGCCGTGGGTACATTACCAGCCACGGCAGTCCCCTCACTTTTCACCCCGTTCCCCTCAACCTGAGGTACCTGGGACTGCTGTTCCCCCGGAGGTGGTTGGGTCCCCTGAGGCCCCTGTGTGAACCTTTCCTCGCCCTTAGTCCCATCCTTGGTAACGGTTCCAGGGTAGAATCCCCCATAGATTCCAGGTCCAGTAATTCCCCTCGCCCTGGGATCAGGATATTCATAATACCTTGGATATTCAGCATAAGGATATTCCTGTGGCATCCTCCCATGGGGATCCTCTTCAACCTGTCTTTGATCCTCAATCTGTCCCTGTGGATGTGCTTCGATTATAGGCATTTTTCCAGTTGTCATCTCCTGCCTCTGAACATTCTGAACACTCTGGATATTTTGAACCCCCTGTTGATTATTCTGTTGCACCTGGGGATTAACAACACTTTGTTGAACCTGAGGATTGACAACTTGCTGCACCTGGGGATTGACAACCTGTTGAACCTGAGGATTGACAACTTGCTGGACCTGGTGTTGAGGTGGCCTGACACTCTCCTCGATAATAATTTCATCGTCACTCTTCCCTTGGTATCCATAACCACTTCTCATCTCGTTTTCATCCAAACTCTTCTCCTCGGAGTGCTGTGTCTGGACACTCTGGACAGAGACCTTTGGCTCGAAACTCCTCATCTCCTCGTGTTTCTCCTCAGAGTTGACATCATGAGGAATCCTCTGGGTAGATGGGCTGTACTCAGGATTGTTCCCAGCTTCGGCGACGATGTCCTCGAGTCTGACCTCCTCCACCCTCTGATCAGTTCTCGGTTGAGAGTCCGACGAGTTTGAGTTCTCACCAGCGGAGTGATCCATATCGTGTTTTTTGGGGACTCTCTGGAGTGACACCTGATTATTTAGAGCCATTTGATTGAGATTTCTGAGGACTGGAGTGGGAATTACAGGTCTCGGTCTCTTGGGATCCTTCTCAGGGAACTGCCGATATCCTGATCCACTGCTGGGTCTTGATAGAGGTCTTGGTGTGGCTGGGCCACTGGTAGATGTGGTTTTTGGAATTATGGATATGGCTGAGTTATTCCTGAGGGGAAAACTCACCTCTGGCTTCTGATTCTGGGGCTGGGGCAGACTGTTGGGGTGATTCTGGGCTCTCGGCGAGGTTACTGTTGCTGATGAAATCTTTTTGGGCTCTTCCTCTCGCTTCTGTTGGTTTAACTTCAGGGCTGTGCGTATTGCTATAATTTTCCCTGACTCCAGCTGCATGTAAATACCTTTCGGGCTCTTCAGGACCATCACACGTTGGCCAGCTTTCAGGACGATGCTGCTCTTGTCCGGGGAATTTGTGGGAATTACAACGTCTAGGGGGAGTGTCATCTCCTGGGCACTCATGCCCTGGCGTTGCCAGACCTCAGCTGGAATCCATCTGGAGCCAACGACACCTCTGGCACCCAGACCTTCCGCTCCTCGTTGCTGCATTGGTCGAACTGAGGCGACAGGTTTTGGTGCCACTGTGTCACCACCACGAATTGCTCGAATCTGTAGACCCCCAGCTCTCGTTGCTGTATTTCCTGGAATATAATTGTAACTCGGCCTGGAACAATTGGCTGCCATCTTCTCGAGCTCATAACCCCTTCGGGCTAGACGTTTTTCAGCCTGAGACAGTTTCTTGTCTTTTCTGTCCACCAGAAGACTCTCGTGGTGGAATGGTTGCTTCGTTAAGAGGGACGAGTGCTTCTCCAGAACTGTATGCATTATTTCATCCGTATAGCTGTCTTTGTTCGAGGAGAAGTCCTGGACTTGACTGTCCTCCTCAAACTCCCAAGACAAGGTAGTGGCTTCCTTCAAGGATAAATGTGCATCAGGATTGCACTGATCAACAACTCTGTCAGCCATTCCCTGTTTACTGATCTGCCTGTCGTAAATTTTCCTCTCCAAACAATTATCCGTGACCAATCTGTACACATAGCATGGCTTCTTCTGGCCATACCTATAAACCCTGCAGACAGCCTGAGTATCATGACAGGGATTCCAACTGGCATCGAAGACAATGGCCCTGTTGGCCCCCACTAGATTAATCCCCAGAGATCCAGCCCTCGTAGAAACCAGGAACAGATGAATCTTGGGATTAACATTGAACTCATTAATGAGCTTCTCCCTCTCGAGGGCACTGGTACTGCCATCGAGTCGGTAATAATTAACATTCTTGATCCACTTCTCGGTAGTTCCATCGGGATTCTTGAAGTCATTTCTAGCTAGGAAATCCTCAATCAGATTCAACGTAAATAGAGACTGTGAAAACGCCAGGACACGATCTCCCAGGCGAATGGATTCAGTGAGAATGCAGAAAAAGAGAGTCATCTTGGCAGATGCATCGATCAACCCCTCAACATAATTCTTCATCAAGTCTATGGCCCAGTCGTAAGGAATTCCAGGGTCTTCCTTGGCATTTGGAGAATTCTTCAAGTCCTTTTCCTCGTCCTTCAGCAAAACCTCGTCATCGGACTTAATGTCCTCCAGAGTCTTCTCCTTTTCAATTAGAATCTCATCTTTATCCTTGTCCTCTTCCTTGGAGATATCCGAGGGATTTCTACTCCCAAAATTCATGGATTGAACTCTGGGGTTGACACTCTCTGGAGGGGTTTGGGTGTAACTCGATGGAGGCAGTGGTTGTGTCTGAATTCCCACGTTGGTTTCCTTCTTCGGGGCGAATGTGGGAACTCCAGGTCTCATCAGGTTTGATCCAGGGACTGATTTGTCCTCTGTCTTTATGACTTCAGGGTTTGACTGGTAGTCGTAGTTCTGGTAGTTCTGGGGGAAATAGTTCGCTGGGTATCTATTGTCCCACTGGTTTTGGGATACCTGTTGGTAGTTCCCCTGCCAGTTGAAACGATCCTCGGGCCCCTTGAACTGATTTTGCTGTTGGGGGGTTCCATCAGGAGGGAATGTCTGGAGTTGGGTCTGGGGATTCTGGTAATTCCCCGGGGGATTTGGGGTTTCCGGGGGATTTTGGGGGTGAGTGAAGCCCTGGGGGGCTGGATACCTCTGAACCTGGGGGGTTTGAGGGGCTGGAGCTGTCGGATAACTCTGACCAGGGAAAGACTGAGAGTTCTGGTATCTCAATTGACTCTGATTTGAGTTCTGAGTTGAATTCTGGCTCTGATTGTTGATGTAATTATGTTGTTGAGGGGGGAACACCTGGCCCTGGGGATTCTGCTGATAATTGGGCCCCTGCCCTTGGCCTCCAGGTGGATAATTAGTTCCCTGGGGCTGTCCTCCCGGGGGATATCCTCCAGGAAGCATTGCAGTCTGGCTCTGAGGAGGTGCTGGAGCATTTTGAGTGGTAATGTACCCTGGAGCCCCTGGAGTTTGATTAATTGAAGGCGGATTCTGTCCCGGTGGGTACGAAGTCAATTGATTATCATTCCTGAATATCTGAGTTCCCCCTGGTGCTTGATAATTCTGATTCTGATTCTGGTTTTGGTTCTGATAATTGTAATCCACTGGAGGATTCTGGCTCTGATTCTGGTTCTGACTCTGGGGTTGGGGCTGGCTCTGACTTTGATTCTGATTCTGCGTCTGATTCTGATTCTGGTTCTGATAATTCTGAGGAAGATTCTGAGAAATCTGTCCTCCAGGAGCATTAGCAGGATAATTCCTCTGCTCCTGAAACTGATATCCCCTATTGAACATTCCTCCCATCTCATAATTCGTATTATTCCCCTGATCTCGAAACTCCGGAGTCTGAGAATTCGAGAATTTCTGATTCCCCTGGCCCTCGCCAGCCACAAAGTTCGGTCCATGTGACTGCCCCTGAGTATATCCCTGTTGATAATTACCCCCCTGGTACCCCTGAAACTGCTGATTTTGTTGATACCTCTGATTCTGATTATTATAGAACTCATTATACTCAGTTCCCTCCCCCCTGAAGTAAGTTCCCTGCTCATTATTCCTGAACTCCTGGTAATTCTGTCCAAATCCTTGGGAATTTCCCTGGTTCTGATTAATAATATTTCCAGGCACCTGCTGCTGGAATCCTGCAAAATTTCCTTTACCATCTCCACTCTCCTCAGTATTATCATTAACACTGCCTGAAGAATTGGGTTGAACACTTGCTGCAGGTTTGTTCTTCACCACCGCCACCTTCTTCCCCTTTTTCTCTCCCTTGCCCCTGGTCTTTGTCCTCTTGTTTCCAGGTGCTGTCTTCTCGATCGTCTCCTCGAGATCGAGATCGTCCTCTTCGTTCGCCTGTCTCTTCCTCAGGAAGTGATAAAGAATATCCGGATGATTCCAGATTTTGCAGCAAACGGCAAAAGCCTTCAGGGGATTTGGTACAGCCCTGGTCTTCACTACTTGATTCATGAATGTGTCGTAGAGCTTCCTTTGGTGGGGAGTCATCCGCACGAGCAAAATGTATTCCTCTTTTCGAGGAAGGGAGATCTGGAGGACCGAGTGCGATCGCCTCTGGACAAAACCCTCCAGCAGGGCATGAAGAACGTGCGCTCGATATCTCATTAGTCGAATGTCCTGGGGTGTTGAGTCGATACACTGGCCATTCTGAATGGGCCTCTCGAACATATTGCAGAACTCGGCTTTGGTTCCGAGGTAATTGGGTCGAACAAAGTCCACCATGCACCAATACTCGAGAAGATTATTCTGGAGGGGATATCCTGTGAGAACAATACGCCTCTTTGTTCTCATCTGTTTCAATGCTAGACTGATGCTCGCATGAGAATTCTTGATCCTGTGGCCCTCGTCGCAGATGACTAAATCGGGCCCAGGATTCACCAGGGCCCCATGCATCTCGTCGAGGAGAGGTTTGTTCTTGTCCTCCTCTTCTAGATCGACAGTATCCTTAAACTGCTGTCCTCTCCTTCGTTTCCCCTTGTTGGATTTCTTCAGGGACAGCTGCCTGTAGAGTTCATATCCAATCAGTAGGACTCCTCCAACTTTCTGCCACTCTTTTATGACCCTGGCCCTAGCTGCCATCGTCTTGTGGGAATCATTTAAAATGTGCAGATGAAAATGACGAGGTCTCTGTTCAAGTCCCAGAGGGGCGTCGACGTTGAAGGGGGTGGTGACCTTCTCAGTGTCCTTTTTCTCCTCTGTGGCATCGTCTTTGGACGTCGATGTGCCCTCTTCCTTGGTGGAGGGCTCCTCAGGTTCTTTTTTTATGGGAATCTCTGGGTTCTGAGGCTGGGGCGGCTCCTGGGGGAGGGGATAGCCCTGGTATTGAGGATTCTGGAAGGACTGGGGGTACTGATTCTGCATCGGGTACATTCCTGTGTAACCTGGAGTGCAGTCTATCTCTTGTTTCATTGGATATCCCATTTGATAATTCTGATTCATCTGATAATTTTGATTCTGATTCTGATTCTGATTCGGGTTTTGGTTCAGATTCTGATTTTGTGGCTCTCCAGGCTTTCCCTCAGAAAAATAATTCCCCGCCGTCTCATACCCCTGAAACTGTCCCATCACATTCCCCTGCGAACTCTCCGGATGAGATCTTGAGTCAGTACTCGGTCTCGAGGATAAACTGGACACATCTGTCTGATTAGAATTCTCCTCCTTGACCTCGCACTTATCACTCTTCTTAGCAATCTCAGGTTTCACAGAATTGGGATCCTCATAAGGTAGCCACATATTAAACTCAGCCAACCAGTTCTGGAGAGTATTAATAGGCATGATGCAGAGAACAGTTTTGGCAGTAGTACATCTGAAAAATATATCGCAGAAGCTGGCGACCTGGAGAGTTTTCCCCAGTCCCATGCTGTGAGCGAGAATGCATCCAAAGCCGGAGGAGATCTTGTACCTCTCGATGCTCTCCACAATATTATCAAACAGGAACCTAATCCCCCCGATCTGATGTGGCTTGATGATCCTCGCCACCTGGGGCGCCAGAAAAACATCGGGCTCGTTGTCAGGGTGTCCGACATTAATGAGCACCCGTGCATGTTCATCAGGAATATTATAACGATCATTAGTGTGCATCCCAGAGTTGGAGGGATCGTCCTCAGTATCAGTCTCCTCCCCTCCACTGGGATCACTGAGAACGATGCAGTCATCATCTGAGGACTCTGATGAGCTTGAAATTGTCACCACGTCCTTTCCCTTTTGTGGCTTTGGAGTTGGAATTTTTCTGTGGTCCTGGTTGATGTCTTCGAGCTCTCCCTCAGACATATCAGAGTCTGAGTAATAGGGCACGTGATCCAAGGGCTCCCTTTTGGGTACTACTGGAGAAATACTGACAGATGGTGTCATCATTCTGATCCTCTGCTGGAGTACAGTCTGCACTGGTGTTTTACTCATCACTCTGGACATGACAGATTGATTCTGGGGCTGTGGGGGTGAGTGATAGCCCCCTCGACCCTTCCAACGCATTCCAGAAGGTGGCCTTCGTGGAGCTGAGCCTGAGAGGGATGCAGAGGACTGCTGATTCGGTGGAGAGTGCATATTCATGAGGAGAGTTGGAGATTTAATCTGCGAGGGGCCTGAAGACGACTGAGAAATAGTCGTCACTTCGTTCTGCTTTCCTTGGAGTAGACTTATAACTCTGGGCTGGGATCTCGCTGTCTGCCTGTGATTAGCAATCTGTCTCTGCACCTCGCGAATTATTCTCTGCTGCTCCTGCACCCTCCTTAAACGTTCCATCTCCTGGCGTTGAGCTGACAATGTCGCCTCGTCCAACTGTGTCTCGTCCATCACCTCACGAATATTCCTGCGCATATTGGAGAGCTTTTTCTCGGATTTAAGCTCAGGGTCGTCCTCGTCTTTCTTCTGTTTTTTCTTGGATTGGTCTGCATCGTCAGAGGAGCCACGACGCTTCGAGGGTACATCCTCGGAGTCTGAGTGGGGATGAGAGGATGTCCCCAGGCTCTCGGTGTCGTCGTCCTTGGACAGAGGCTTACCCAAGAGGTCAGCCTCTGACACCTCTTGACCCTCAATTGGCGCGCCCTCCAGGGGTAAAGTGTCCAGTATATTAACGGCTTCGACGTCGTCGTCAGGGCACGATGACTCTGACTGCTGTCTCTCCAGGTCCATTCTCACTCCTATCTCTGTGTCGATGGTCTCGTCAAGGTCCATGTCGTCACCGGAACCCTCGGAATTCATGTCCTCGTTTGATCGTCGCAGGTCCTCTCGGTGAAGAGATAGGGCTTTTCTCTCCAGTTCTCCGTCACTCGTCTCACCACCTGTCTCCTCCGAATCCTCGTCGTTCATGCCCTGGACACTCTGATTACTACTTGATGTCATTGTCACATCATCTGTACCTGAGGTACTCGACCGAGGATTATTCCTTGGTGCCACTCTCTCTATCGTAACGTCTCCGATTCGTGTCAAAAAACTGTCCAAACTGTTTGACATTGTGCAACATTCAAACTATCTTTCACTGGTTACTCGGGGTTTATGGGATCTTGGGACAGTTTTTCGGTGATCACATTGTGAATATCTCCTGGGGATATTCAAGGTTTTGTCAGGTATTTTGGGTGGCTGAAAATAAATTGAATTTTTAGTCTTTCTTTCTGGAGTGGGTGATGGAAAAATGGAAATGGAATACAATTATCCACATCTTCACCCTATGAAATTAAATCTGAAAATCATAATCCACTAACAATCCCCAAAAAAGAAGAATTTTATAAAATTCAGTTTTCAAACGTAGAAATTGCCGGATAAAAAATAATCCATTCCATTCTATTCCTCGATCCTCTCTGCATAACAGAAGAAGCAGAAAAATGTCAACCCCAAATAACAGAATGTAATCGTCAACGTAAGAGACAATATCCAGGGGAAATTCCTGATGACCGCTTTCAAGAACCACAGGAATAACCCCTAAACCCTGAGAACTCCACCCCCTCCCTGGCTCCAGAAAACCCCAACAACCACAACAACAATTTAGAAATCGCAAAACAAAAAAACAGAAAAAAACCACCCAGAATCGCTGGATGAGTTTCCCCACAACCCCTTCAACAATTAAAACCCTCTCCCTAAAACTAGCTGTCAAATAATAAAGAGCCACAGACAAACCTCAAAATCACCTCTCCATGCTAACCCCTCAAAGAAAATATCAACTCCAATGGATTATGGAACCCTCAATCACCCAAGTAATTACTCCTCAGTACCTTTTAATTTGTTCCTGTAGCAACTCGTCGAAAAATAATTCCTCAACGACACACACACATTCTGACGGACGCCATAGCGTCTCTATTCCCACCGACGTACGTTCCAATGTCCGATAAAATGTTATTTAAATAAATCCTCGATGTTGTGGTGTTCACAATCTCCAGGTGATTCGGTTCATTATCGTTGTTCGGGGGTCAGTGAACGGTTCGTGAATATTATTCCCTTCAAGTGGCGATTCCCATGACACAGGGCAAGTACATCACACGCGTCCTCACAACTACACTGACAACTGCATAATTTTTTTCAATGCATTGTCGGATACTTTTATTGTTGAGTGTACATCCATCCGCCATCTTGTTGGTCATGGGTGAGGACCCGCACTTCCTACTTCCGTTCGCATAATTTTTATGAATTTTTACTTTTTTTTTAGTTAACGCACCCCAGGGACCAGAGAAATGGGAATTTTTTAAATTTTCTTTACCAGTTTTGGGGGTTCTGTTAGAGGAATTTTCCTGTTACCCTTCGATTTCGGGGGATCGATAATTCCGGGGGGATAATTAATGGATGGGGTTCCAATATTTTAAAGTATGAGTTGTGAGTAACGAGATTTTTTAATAATAACTGTAGAGTTTCCTTTTTTTTTTGGTTTGAAGAGATTTTTTTTGGTGGGAGGAGTTTGGTGGATTTTTTTGGAGAAGGTTTTGTTTGAGTTTTGAGTAGAAAAATATCTTTTGCGGCTTTTTGGTAAAGACGATATTTTATGACAATTTTTGATAATACTTTATTATTTTATCGTTAAAGTCTTTCATGTGTTTCTAATCACCTCAGGTCTTATGAATCTAATAAAATAATCTTTCAATAACGCATAACATAAAATAATTTCTTCTGTTAAAGAAAACATTAATAGAAAAAAGAAATTAGTATTGAAATGGTGGCACGTAATGAACTCGTAATTTTTTGGAGTTTTGGATCGAAGATATTTCGATTGTTGTTCTTCCGGTCGAAAAATGGCGGAGCCATTTTTTGTATGGGTTTTATGAGCTACGAAAAAACTTCCTTTAACCCTTTTTCTATGATTATTCCTCTTTGACGTACCCGGAGAATTCCGGAGAATATTACATTCCCCGAATATTCAGTTACGTTCCACCAGTTCTCTACACCACTAAATCCCCAAGATTTCCTCCGTTAATCTATATTCAACTTAATGAAATCTAATCTAATTTTTGGCATCATTCCCAGTATTTCAAATCAATGAAAATAAACTAATTTTTAAACAAAAACAAAATTCCCATTCGAGGGGAAAACTAACAAAGTCTTACGTAAAGCAAAATTGTTCCCTCCCGAACAATCAGATCTCCCTATTTTACGTTTTACAATCTAACGTATGAGGTTTAACTATCGAAAAAAAAATCAAATCGATATTGATGTATAAAAATGTAAGAGACAGAACATTACGAGTCGATTTTTTTAAATTAACTCAATTATCTCGATGACAAGTTGTTCTACGATAAAAAATCATATGAAATTTTTTGTATAGAATTGAATTCCCCAAAAAAAATATTTTCGACATTTCCCGCTGAAATTGCTCATTCACAAAATAAATGAACTTGTATCGAATTGCGCTTGAAAGGCTCTTTAGCAAAATCGTCTGAGTATACCCGAAAATCAAGAATTTTTATCTGAACTTTTTACTGAAAATCATTCTCAGGGAGTTATCAGTTAATTCGCAGTCTCGCAGGCATCAATCCAATCATTATAGACATCGATAGGTTCTGATAGGAGAGTAATAGTTGTTTGAAAATCCTCGAGGCAAACTCTGCAAGTTATTCTCGCAGTAGTTTTTCCTTTATCCCTGTAAAAATAATATTTTTTTCAATAAAAAATTATTGCAAATAATCGCTGTTCCAAACTCGCGAATTCTTGTGGATTTCAAATTTTTCCAAAATCAGTAAATGATTACGAACGATTGAATTATAATTCATCGAAGAGCAATTCATAATATATAATTTTGCAAATTTCCAACAGCTGACGGAGATCATTGACAAATGGTTCTCGTCAATTCTTAAGGGATTATTGATAATTGTTTAATGGATTAATTCTGATTTAATGGAGGACTCTTTGTTATTTTATTTGGAACTTACATCTTAACCTCGCAAGACTTTTCGTGATTGCAAAATGGACAATTAAATTGCGTGTCCAGGGGTTCAATGGCCTTCCTCTTTGCCGGTGGCTTTCTCTTGCTCTTCCTGCGACCCATGACACCTCTTGACAACTATTATTTTCTCAAATAAAAATATTTTTTTATTGATTAACAACAAATCGACCTCTGTTGATGCAAAACAGACGAATGTTGTTGTTTTTTAGTTTTATTTTCCCCTTTGTTGCTTTGAATTACAGTTTAGAAAGGCAACGACAGGTGGAGCCGCTCTCCACTTCAATTTTTTAACCAAGAGATATTTGATAACAAATATCTACTGTAAATTGACAATAATTTTGACGATTCATGACTTCAAAAAGTCCAGTGATTATCATTTTTTTTATGTCCCTTTAACTGTGAATATTTCCATAACCATAGGTTCTACAAGAAAATGTGATAGGACCTTTGTTGTAGCCAAAGAGGATTGATCGTTTCCTCCGGTATAAAAAAGGTCATGTGGTCCTTCCTCCTATACCCCGTCGTTTTCGAAATAATCATGATGTGAATTTGGCATGATATTTTTTGTAGTCATTGAAACTGCCTTTTTTATTTGGTCGCGGGTGTTCCTGGGTTTTTAATCATTTTTAATTACCCATTCAACTGATATCAGTGAGGAATGACATGGAGTTGTTTGAATGGAGCAGACATAGGGGGAAATGGAGAAAACGTACAAATCGAGGATTAGTTTGCGTAGAGGGCCACGAGTTGATTATTTACACGTGGGCAACTTTAGTTGGTCCCAGAGTTTTTTCAGTGCATAACGTGGCGGGCTCAGGTGCATGCACCTCTTCATTTTTCAAACCTTTATTTTTTATAACGAATTAGTCAATTTTTACCTCTTCCTAAGACAAGACTCGCCTTTTCGACAATGAAATTCATTTTTCTGCTTGGAGTGTTTATTTTACCGGCACTTGTCAGTGCCTACAAGGAAATTGACATGAACTTACTCCAGTGTTTGAGTAAGTAAACAATTATTATCCATTTTTTGTTATTTTCTGTTCTGGTGGGCGATTACCTGAAATCTCACTACTCGCTATCTTGCAAATATCTTGAGACCGAGCGGGTTCATGAGAAAATGTCAGAGGAATTTTTTCTAGAGAATTAGATTTTCCCCTTATCTGATTTATTCACTTTTTTCGATAAAGCTGATAGTGCTAGAGATATTTGCTGGGTAGTAGTAAGTTACGTTTTTCTCATTTTCAGTTTGTAGAACAACGATCGAAGAAATGGATAATGTCATGGCGAAAATCGATCCTTCCAGGAGTATAGATGTCGGTAATTATCGGCTGGATGCCCAGGGCAATATTCTCAAGAAATCGGTAATTCAATCATAATTGTAATAATTTCAAAATTCAATTCTTTTACTCCTCTAATCTTAGAACATTCAAAATATTAATTTCGATAGAAAAATCTTATTTTTTTCATCAGAAATTGGAGAAATTGTTGATTAACAATAAATTTTTCTACTAGGTGCCCATGAGGAAGTCTGAAGTGCACATTTCAG